CTTTGTTCTGTCTTGGTCCAGAAGTCATGTCAGAGCTATCCATTACATACTTCATTCTGTTTTCTTTTCGGTTCTAATATCATGCAGGAAACTGTGTAAAGTCACTAAGTGGAATGACAGAAAAAAAAAAAATAAATTACTGAATACTGTAGAGGCCATTTTTTTTAAGCTTTGCTTGTATTTTGCCCACCTGATTTATTTTTATTTTATATATATATGTATACCTACCCATTTTTTTTATTGTGCTTTGTTTTACTTTGGTGAGGTTAAGTCAAAGGAGTAGAAGTCAGGAGGTCTGAGTGTTATTTCTTGTCTCTTAGAAAATTGCTGGAGGTCACCTTCCGTTAGTCACTTAACCTCTCTCTGCTTTACTACAAAATGGAATTTTAAGCTCAGCAGGTTTTTGAAAAGTAATTCATTAATGTTTTGCAAAAAAATGCTTTGTACTCCTTGGCTGGCAGGTGCTGGAGAAATAGAATTTGCATTTCTATTTAAATACTGAAATTATCTAGTACTAAGGTTCTCATGTTGATTCTGCTCTCCTGTAATCTATTAAAACATTAAAGGCAAGGAAAAGGTATTTTAAAAAGCTCTTGTTTTGTAACAGCTCCATCTTTAACTTCTGCTAATGGCTATCTCTTGTCAACAAAGTGCAAATCAATTTCAAGGCTGAACCCAAACTCTCTCATTTGCATATTGTTAACTGCTCTCTCTTTTCCTGTTAAACAGGAGGAAAAAGTCAATTAGATATGAGGCAGCTGTCTTATTAATGAAGGGGTGGGATAAAATGTAAGGAACTCTTCTTTTGTAGCATATGCTTCTGAGCAGCTCATTTTTCTGAGCAGTTCATTTTTCTGAGCAAGGACAACTGCAGAGTACCAAGTTTTGTCTATTGCTTGCAAGGCTTCTGCTTCTTTTCATTTATAAAATCTCATGTTTTCACTGTCAAATATTACCAAAATGAAGAGTTGCTCTTTACTTTCAGTGTAACCAAATCCCTGTCAGGCCAGAAGGATCACATGAAATAGTGTGATTGACAATGACCATGCATACACGTACATAAAAAAAAAAACAACACAAAATCTCTGTCATGACATTCCTTTATGATTAAAACTTTGTTATAAACCATGGATGAATTATGAAAAAGAAAGCTGGAAGAAATATACTGATTCACCAAAGGACTTGGATAAAATGACATTTCTGAGACCTTTATATTCTAAAGGATTATTTACTGTCTACTTACAGAACATCTTAAGTGGTTTTGCAGAGGGAGTCAGTTTCCTGTTTAGCGCAGTGTTTTTGTAAGCTAATGAGGGCAAAGCGTGAGCCATAGGCAATGATGCTGTGATATTAGCTGTGACAGGGAACTTGATCATAATTATCTTAACGAGGATAGGGTTAATTACAGTGGAAACTTAAAGTTTTTTCTGTTTGAATGAGGCGGCACTGAATACGTTGTGATGTTTTGTCGGTTTGATGTGACTTTGAAAATTGCAGTGGAAATCTCTTGGCAGCACTTGCTCTCCTCTGGGAGCAGAGCGTGAGCCCTGCAGTGAGGCAAGGGAGACGGTACCTGTGGGTGAGATAATGGGCAGCTCTCATGACATTAGAGCAGGGACAGGCAACCTGCGATCCACCTTAGTGATGTTTATTAGCCTTTTGAAAGTAAGGGAAACATCTCCTTGCCACAGGCCTTCCACTGCTGGTTGCATTGTTGTGGTAAGATTGTTTGTTTCAATATTTTAACATGGGGAGACATTTTTTTATTCTGTGAACTATGAGAAAACAGCACAGATTTAGTTTTAGACTCATTCTCCTTCTTAGAGGATTTCCTTCCTTTTATACCCATCTCTTGCTTGTGCCCTTCTTCCTATGCTGTGTCTATATAAGCATTCCTCTTTTATAATGGGCTCATAAGGAAATACTTGGAGTACGTTAATATTGCTTTCTCAGTCTCACTAAAAATAAAAATTACAGTATTTCATACTGATTTCTGTCTCAGATTCTCAAAAATGTTTTCTCCATACCAATTTATAATTGCAATCCTTTCTTATCCCCCATCTGCAGATGACAAAATTGAGGCTCATGGAAGTTATGGGACTTGCTGAATTTTGTACCATAAAACCAATTGTGTGGATTGTACTTAAAAGTTTTACACTTTGGAATACAACTGCTGGGCAATATTTCCTAAGATACTATGATGGTAAAGACTTGCATAGAATTTATTAGGTAGCAACACTGAATGTTGGCAAACACATTATTTCCTTTTTTGCTTCTTTGCCGTGTCTTACCATTTTTTGTTTTGGTGCTGTTTTTTTCTTCTGTTCAATACGAAAAAAAATAATAATTCTGTGAACAGCAAGACAACACATAGCTTTAAATTTATATTAATGGCTACACTCTCTCTCTGTATTGTGGCAACCCCTCCCATCTCCCTGGACTCTGAATTTAGGTGATTAAATCACCAAGTGCACACTACTCTGATGACATGAAAACAGCAATTATAAGCAACCCCCTGTGTAACATGGCTCCTTTTTAACTGAGCAGCTAATAACATTACATGGCAAAAATTATCAAAACCAGACAGGTGTAAGGAGATTTGCGCACAATTTTCTCTGCCTATCTATGAAACTAGTACCCTTGTGTTCAGCCCAGGGTTGTGAAAGAAAGACTGTTTCAATAGGCAACTCCCTCTAGTGTTCCAAGGCCTTTTGTCCCACTTCATGGCTTGTCATTTTGTTTTATGCCTCCCCTGCAGCAGTTTTGGATGTGCGCTTTCTTCTCCTTGCCAGTTGCCAACCATTTGCTGATTCTCATGATAAGAGTATTATATTTGCATAACATAACTCAGGAACAATGTGTATTTTGATGCTGACACTGACCAGAGCCCAGGCGGTGTTTTTTCACAAAGGACCTATTAACATCCCATAAGGCTCTGTGGTGCTGACAAGGAGGTGGCCTTCTCTGAACTCTTTTGGCAAGTCAAAGTCATACATTGAAATGTGAGGTTTGGAAATAATCCACTATTTATATAATAAAGAGTATTTAAGAGGAATTTGCTAAACTAGGTTTGTCAAACTGAAATGAAAACTCATAACAGCTTGATAAACTCACTGCTACTTCCTCTGAGTTTTTTTGCCTTTTAAAGGTACTTGGAGGAAAGCACTGTCCAAGATGTTTGCTGTTTTCTCCTCGAATCTTGACTTTGGCAAAGCAAGTCTATTGTGACCTTTTGCTGAAATAGCTAGCTCAATGCAGCATGCTAGCACAGCTTTTAATGGTGGACAGTTTATGTAGGCTGAATTGAGGCTTTTTTTCCCAAAACTGTTGGTTAAAGGCACATGCAAAACATGTGATTGTTACTGCAGTGATTATTTCAGTAAAATGTTTATAATAGCGGCCTTTTATTTTTTCAGCTTTAGAAACTGCATTTTTTCAGTGTATCAATGCACTGTAATGATATAGATATGCCATCGGGTGTAGGCGGCAAATTTTCTTCAGGTCCAGCTGAGTATCAAAATGGTGTTAGTGACAGTTGTACCTCCCTTTCAGTTCAAGAGACTCTGGAGTCCTTGGACTGAAACACACCTTTGCAGCATTGCACAAATGTTACTTATTCATAGTTTAGTGTGTGAAGGTCACACACTTGATTTCTTTGGGTTTCCTGAGCCGTCTAAGTGTGAACTATAAGTGGTCTGTAAGTTCTTGCTACAAAAGCAGTACCTTGTTCTTGTTGCACAGATGAATGTTAAATTGTCATTTCTAATAATACTTGTGTTTTTCTCCAGTAATTGTATTTGTGGAACATTCTAAAAGGGACCTTGGCTGTCTTTTGATCTTTGCCAAAAAACTGGGGTGAGGGTGAGGAAATCCCCTCAGTATAAATGTTATTGGGAACTGAATAAATAGTATAACCTGCATCTCCCTTATTCATCACATTTTACAAAACAACCAGGAGATACAGTGATGATCTTCCCACCAGTAGGCATAGTAGATCAGCTGTCAAGTCATGCAATCTCAGCATATCTTTAGGTGTCTGGTAGGTGACTGAGCTGTGAATTCATGTCTGTGCGTGTGCTTTGTATATTGTGTGTCTTAGCTGATTAAGTTGTTAGGTTGCAGTTGATTAGGATTTTTTTACTGTTGGAATGAGCAAACATTTGGAATAGATGCCTTAACAAGGTACTGAAATGTTCTTAGTTTTGTTTGTGTGGTTGGTTGGTTTTTTTGTACTTTGCTATGAGAGGAATGAATGCTTCCAGAACCTTGTTTATTTACAAGTCACCATCTTCACCACCGTGTTGTCAAATGCTCCTTTTAAAAGCTGCTCTCTGCAGTGTGACCTGTGGCTTGACAATGGGACAGTAAGTTCCAAGAAGAAAGCAAACGCCTTTTCTGTCTGGTGTAATTCTGCATTTTATTTTGTAGAGAACATTTTATTTTGTTTGCAGGAACTCAAGAATCTAATTAAGAGGTTAATAAAAAACGGGGGGGAAAATCCCTTCTACATTTCCTACTATTGCATGTAAGGTAACTACTAAGAAATGATACTTGAAGTTGTATTTATTATTGTTAGCAGGGTATGATATTTCTTGGCAGAAATGATGGATGACAACTTAAATTTGTGTCCAGGGAATGAAGGTGAACTGTGACAGAGTTATTTATCTTGGGAATGGAGGTTAGGGTCAGGCGAGGCTGGGTGCCTGAAGGCACAAGACATTGACAAATTCATCCTGCAGGCCCCATATCTGAAGCCTTTTGTTTTGGATCCTGGCTACTCACTAAGTGACCCGCATCCTTCATCCTGCCAGCATGTGAAGGATGTGTTGCAGTGCCAGCACTCCCCTTGCCACTAATGCTTGTCATTCACTCTTCTGACAGGCCCAAACCAAAACTATTCCCACTCCTGAAAGGGAAGGTTAAAATATTTATTTCAGCTCATAATGGCCTCCCTGATTTAGTGGAGTATCATTTTTCCTGTTGCCTTTTGTCGTTTGCAGGTCACTAGAAGGACTGAAAACATTCAGTTACTTGGAAGAACTGATCTTGGACAACAATCTACTCGGAAATGACCTTCTGTTACCCAGGTTACCCCACCTCCATACCTTAACGCTCAACAAGAACCAAATATCCTTTCAAAGAAATACCTGCAAAATGTCAAATGAGTTTTATGTGTCAGCCAAATTAAAGTATGTGAAATATAGTTCATGTGCAGACAAAGCATTCTCTCGTTTGGCACCTGGAATACTTCATAGTAATTTATTACAGGTCATTCATAAATGAAATGCACCATTATATCTTCCTGTTGCTCCATTTTAGTGAGAGATCTAAGTTATGGCTCTGAAGAAATCTTTCTAATAGATAAAATAGAGAAAGAAAATAATGTCAGTGCTACCCGTGTGCAGCAGTTCCTGTGCTAGCTTGGGGTTCTGTTGCAGGCTGACCTCTAGTGGAATAGAGCGTGCAGTGAAACGGGATTAGGTTTTAATACTTTAAATAGCTCTTAAAGCGTTAAAGTAAGATAAAATTAATTAAACCCACACAATATTCTTAATTATTTTCTCTACTTTCATCAAACTGGTAATACGCGCAATTGGGTAGCTTCTGTGCAACTGCAGCTGTAAAAGCATGTCACTCTTTTCTGGTATTCCAGTTCAGTATTAATTCACATAAAATACTTTCCAGATCAAGGTCTTAATACAGTAAAGTCGTTTGATGTATGATTAAGTCCAGTTGTAACCAATCAGTCACTTCTCAATATGCCTAAAGTTAATGCCTATTTCTGTTTATTAAGAATAAATATTTCAACATTTGTCTAAATAATCTGCTGAATCAGAGCCCCCTAGTCTGTAGGCTTACAGATATTGATCTATAAAAACGAATTATCTGCAAAGTCTGTGGGCGTAGACTTGATTATTCCATAATTTTCCCATACTTTGACCCATCTGGAGGTTTGAAGATGTGTAATAGGTGATTTTGAAGAAGTGAGGGGTGGTCAAGCTGTGGCCAAAAGGCCAACTGAGGCCTGCAGAGTCTTAGAGCACAGCCTGCTAAAGCCCTGGCCTTGTAATTGCAGCGTGAGGACAAGACTGCTCAACTGCAGGCTTTTATTACAGACAATGTAAACAGAGAGCAATTTACCTCCTACTAAAGCAAAATCCTCCCACTGAGGGGAATAAAAATAACTGCAGATTCTACGATTTCTGCACTTATTTTTGACTCTATAAATAAATAAAAATCAGCAGAGTAACTTTCTTTCTCAGAGCTGTGGAAATTTGCCAAGAGTGTCTCTTGAACAGTAACAATCATTACTGTACTAGGTATTAGGCTAGATTTATGGTTAATGCAGGGTATTGTGGGTTGGATTTGAGTAACTGGTTTTATTGTTTTGTTGTTTGCTGCCATGGTAAAATCTGAATTTGTGAAGAATATACAAGAACATTTTTGGTGATGCCACTTACAAACCATGAAGTGTAGCTTTGGCCATAAGAACAAAAAGCACGTAAGTACATTTGTCTTATGGGTGGCAGTCCAGGAGGAGTTTTGCACTTACCAAAGAGAGGGCAGACGTATTGAATATTGACTCAGTGAACAAAACCAGAGGGAAAAAAATTATCCTGTCAGTAGTAATCTTTAAAGAGTTTCTGCTGGTCTCACAGACAGACTAAAATAGTATTGTCAAGTGAGTAAGCTCTCAAAGCCAATGATAACACGATAAGAAGGATTTTATCTGTCCTGGGATTGTTTTAATTCAATCTAAAAACTATGAAGTTGGAGCTTTGAGAGTGTTGAACTACCGAGGTTATAGAAATAATAGATGCATTTTGTAGCGTGCTACAAATAATTTAATAGAGGAATTTCAGAAATACTTCTGAAACACCTATTGTATACAAACAAACTGTCCAGAGAAGAAAAACTAACTGCTGTCCATCATTAACATCCTGAGCCCTAGGGAGCAGTGATCTTTTGTAGGGGGGATACATGAGTCTGCAGAAACACAGAGACCTTCCAGATTCCTCTCCTCAGTGTTAATGTTGTGTTTGAAAAAAGGTCTTATTTGAACTTGAATCACTTCTTTTAATGAATTATTTCTCTATAGAATTCTTTGAAAAATGTTAAGAAAAAAATGTACATTTAATAGAATAATGAAATACATTTCAGGAAAGATTGTTCAGTATATGACAGTAGCGCAGCATAAAGGACACAAGTGAGCAAAGAATACTGATCTGAAATAAAACTTCAATAGTTGGAATATTGCAATGTATACATAAATATGTACAGAGAGAGAGTGAGAGAGAGATGAAAATAAACAAAAAGCCAAACTGACCCCTTTGAAAATTGGAATAGCATGTAAACTTTAGAACACATATGAGAGCTTTCCTGAGTATCTCTTAATATAAATGTACTCTTCTCTCCTTTTATTCTGGCTTCATTTTGATCCATATCCTGTTTTGATAGCTCTAAGTGCTTTCTACTCCCTTTGCATGGTTCACTTATTATGTGGCATTGTATGTGTGAATAACATTTGGGCCCTTCTAACATAATGTCTGGATACTGTATAAATTTGAAAGCTTATCACTAAATCGGGCGAAGACTTAGAACAATCACCTGGTTTTTTTTCTTCTGGTTGCGTATTTCAGTTACAGTCAGGCCACTAGCAATCTTTCTGGAGAAGTGGAAGAACCAAATTAAAATATTGCAATCAAAAAAAATGTGTTATCACTCAACTTTTCTATAATGTATAAGCTGTTTAAAATCTTCTGAAATGCAGTCTGTATAATGGAAATACCTAAAGGAGAGTCATCAACACTGTGCAGTGTTGGATTATGTGTATAACATACTTTATTTCATGTATATAGTGTGGTTATTTTTTTAAAAAGTCTGATTTACTTTGGGAAACATATCTTAGTTTCTTTCTTGGACACAGTGGACAGCAGAAAGCAGCACAGATCAGGATGGATGGGGGTAGATGGGAAGTTGCTTTTGGAGGAGGACCGATAACTGCAGGCACCTATGCTTGTAATGGGAAGCCTCATTTCTCCTTTTGAGTGTGTTGACTAAATACTGTAAATCAATCAGGAAAGTTCTAAATAGATTTATCTATTTCTCTGTGGGTGTTATAGCAGTGTGAGGTTTCGTGGCTTTTCACTGTGCTGGTCTTGACCAGCAGTATGGGACAATATAGTACAGACATATCAATTTCCTTTACATTTCAAACTTTATATTATTTGTCAAAACTACTCAGATGGGAATTTTTAAAATTTGACAAAGTATTAAAAGATAGTTTGCCCTATATATATATATATATATATATAAATTATATATATATATATATATATATATATATACATGCCTGTATGCTGAAAATTTGGTGTTCATAGCCTCACTTCTGAACAGACAAGTCTGATAATGAGCCAGATCTGTGATTCTTTGTAGTAATAAATACTCTATTTATTTACTCAGTCCACTAAGCTGGTCATACATTTAACACACATTCTATACACTTTTGAGAAACTAGTACTAAAATTTCTTGAGAAGGTGCTGAATATAGATGTAGAATGCAGAGAGGGCCATGAGGATGATGAAGGACTTGAGAGGAGGCCAAATGAGGAGCAGCTGAGGTGCCTTGGTCAGTTCAGCCTGGAGGAGACTGAGGGGAGAGCTCAGTGCAGTGACAGCTTCCCTGTGAGGGGAAGAGGAGGGGCAGGCACTGATCTCTGCTCTGGGGTGACAGTGACAGGACTGAGGGGATGGCCTGAAGCTGAGGCAGGGAGGTTTAGGTTGGATATCAGCAAAAGGCTCTTCACCAGAGGGTGTTTGGGCACCAGCCTGACAGAGCTCACAGAGCAATTGGTCAGTGCTCTCAGACACAGGGTGTTACTCTTGGGGATGTTCTGTGAAGGGCCAGGAGTTCAACTTAGTCATCCTGATGGGTCCCTTCCAACTCAGCACATTCTGTGATTTTATAATTGAATCTAGGTCTAGGTTTTGAATGGTTTAGGGAAAAAACAAAATATTTCATACCATAGACTGGGAAATCTAGAACCAGACAGAATGTCCATAATGGTATGTACATTTCTTATGGCAAGAGGAGTTATCAGTGTGATTCAGATTTAGGTATTATATGTTCTTGAGCCTTTGAAAGCAGCATGTATTAAATACCTCAACTGTACAACATACCAGTAAATACTTCTGGTATAATTTGTCTTCACACAGGTCTTATAATAATCTCTAATAGTTACAGATTTGCTTAACCCCAAAACTATAGATTGTAATTTATTTTGCCTCTGCACCTGTTCCTACATTGTCCTTAAGTGCCTGAAGGCACAGAAGTCCCAGAATCTCATTATATTAAGTGCTGAAAACTTGATGTTTAGATTGAGTGACTACATTAAAGACACAAACTGCCTGCTATGATACATGGAGACAATTTCCCCATTCCTTCTAAACAGACAACTGAAGTGGTACAGAACTCTTCCTGTGTAGGTTTCTGAGCTCTCCACACCACAGCTGCGGATTTAGTGAAATCTGCGTGGCTTGTTAGAGAACTGCTGTACCTAATGAGCCAATAATCTTTCTTCTAGAATAAAGAGTACCTGAAGTAAAAATAAAGTCATGTGAATGCCATCATGGAAGAGAGAAGTAGTCTTCCATACATCTATGGAAGAGAGAAGTAGTCCACAGTCCAGGTGATTCCTTATGCTGTTCTGCAGCAGTGCTTGCAGGAGTTGAACTGCAGATATCAGAACTTTTTTAAAAATTGTGAACTGCTACTTTATTTTTGTCTTTGTGATGCCTTGTTGCTTAATAACATTGAAATGTGGTCTTCAAATCTGCAGCCTTGGAACCATGGGGATACTAAAATGCCTTTAAAAGCACTGGCAACTCCAGCTACATAAAGAAAACTAATGCTGCTCCAGTAGGCAGAATGGGATTTTTTTCCCCATATATTCAGTATTCAGGAACCTCTCCATGAGATATATGGACTTAGTTAATTACAATCCACTCTGCACCTTTTTTTCTTTGAGCAAAGTGGTTTCAAAGTCAGTGAACAAGGCCTTATCTCAAGGTCCTATCTCCCTACCAGATAGGGTTCAAGCCAGAATGTGGCATACAAATGACTGTGT